GCCAATGGGCCATCTTTCCAGGAAGGTTCAACCTTTTCAACACAGGATTCGCTTGGCAGAGTTGCTCCTTAGCCAGCCATTTCCCCCATGTTCATAATAGGAAACATCACACGGGTCAATATAGGCTGCTGTTTAGGGCAGGAGCTAAGCCCAGGCATGAGCATGTTGAGCCCTCATGGGACAAGCCCAAGCACCTCCTCATTTTGGGGCTGTATCTGCTCCCCTCTGTATTTGAAAAAATTAACATGGAAAAGGAGTCATCCAATTTTGCTTGGCAATGCAGACTGCCACCAGGCCACACCATCACCACCACGAGCCCAAATCACTTCTCCATGAYCCGTTACCAGGGAAGGAGCTACAGGCAGCTGATCCAGGCATCCCTCAGAGCTGCTCCTGCCACTCCCGGCCACAGGAAACCAGTGCTTATGGATTATTTTTGGAAAAAAATAAATATTAAAAGATGCCTGTAGAACACACGGAGCTGGTTATGTTCTCCATGCCTAAGTAAATGCTCYGTGGAGAGGAAGGGTCAGATAGCAGGAGATGCAAAACTAAGGGCATTTTGCTCCACAGAAAATCCATTTCAGCCAACACACCGTCGTGGAGGGATGAACTAGGACTGCAGCTATAGCTTGATTTTATAAAGATACTCACTGGGAATTACCTAGAAGGAGGAAAAAAACAAAGTTAAGTAAAAAGGAAAGGCAGAGCTGCGGAGAAAAACTCGGTCTGGAACTCTAAGATCAGTCATCACACAGCTCACAAGTTAAACAAGTGTTTAAAAGAAACAAATTAAGTGGGGTAGATTTATGATGCTGCAGAAATTACCCTCCAAAGTATGTCTTCTGTGGATAGATGTGAATCTGTATCAGAAAACCAGATGACAGAATAAAGTCAAGGAATTTCAGGCTTATAGCTCTTTGCTATGGCAACTTGCTCAACAGGAAATATCTTTCAAAAATAAAGAAGTGTTAAAGGTTTTTCTTTAAAACATAAATCTGCTCCATGAGAAAACAAGATAGGTAAATGCAATACCATAAATTGCTCTCTGTGCGAGCCATCCTTCACAGCACGCCAGGAGAAGYGCTTGTCTGCAATCCCAGTAAAATTCCTGCTTTGATGAGTTTGATAATTTAGGCAAAGGGTAGTCAAGATCACTCCGGGTTCAAAATCCATGCTAAAAGGTTAGGTCCCAGGGTTATAATTGAAGATTCTGGCATAAGAGTGACTTGAAGTGTATGTCTCTATCGTGGCTCACACTGCAGCCTCTCAGGAGCACGTTTTCCTTCGGGACGCAACCCGAAATTTCCAGGATATCGGTACATTCTATTCCTAAAAMCTATGACTGCAGGTGGAGACAAGCATTTAAACCAACTAAAAAGATAATTCAGTTATTTTTGAGCTAATACAGACCGACAGAGTGACATACATCTTTCCTGAGTTATTTATTTACCTAAGACAGGCTCAAACAATTTTGTGCTTTCCAAGGAGCGTACAGGTACAGCCAGTGACGCAGCGTGCGCCGTCTACCTGGACACGAGGCCCCAGGTCACCACTGACACGGATGCTCAACGGGGCTCTGGGCGCTGCAAAGGAGAGTGCAGCGAAGATGCTGATTTGGAAATTTTTTCAATTTCAATTTTCTTTTTGTGAAATTTTCTTTTTCCGTGCCCTCAGCTGGGCTGCAGGTGGGTTACGAGCCCCAGCAATCATGCTGGCTGGTATTTCATTATATTCCCTCATCTCCTTTCTACTTTTACCCATCATGTTTTTTATACACTGAGATTATAACATTTCCATATGGGAGTTCAGGGAACCCTCAGGAGTTAGCACAGAGCTGCTCGAATTTGTGGATCTCTAGAGCAGGGGGAAGACACTCTTGGATATTTATATATTAGAAACACCACTTAATAAGTGTCATTTTGCATATACATATTTAGATATTTCCCCAAAGCAATATCTTACATTTTATATAGCATTTCAAGATCATTATAATATTTCTCTTCCTCYGTAAGTACAAAAAACCCCACACTCCTCTTTGAGCTACTTAGAATCCCATTCTGACTCTCCCCAGCCCCTTTTGAACGACGACTCTAACCTGCCTGGCCTACATCAATCTGCAGCAGGCAGCTCAACAATATGCAATCCCTAAACAAGACAACTCACCCCTATATCTCATTTCAGGCTTGTTATCCCAGACCTTTCCCTCATGACGCCGCTCTTCCAGGGCTCGCCTCTCCYGGGCTGTGTGAGAGCTGGCTTATTTTTCACCACCATATGGCACCTTGTCTTGCTCCACGTGGAGCTAACTGCAGCTGTCAGCTCTGGTCCCGACCTCAGCTCCCTAAATCGAGGCTGAGCCTCCCTCGCGGGGCTGCAGCRGGGGGTATCTGCAGCCTTTGCAAGGAGCTGTCACCGTGTATCTCTGTCCTCTCCCCGTGTTTGCAACCCTGCCTGGTGTAGCACTGCTTGTAAGGGTAATTAATGAGCTGTTTATGCACTCTTCAGCAATCATTAATAAGGATGTTAAACTAAAGCCACGCTTAGCGGCACACCCCGAGTCACCCTGCACACTTCTGTCCAGCTCAATATTACCATTTATCATTCCTCTCTGTTCCTAATGCCTCAAGCGATTCTAAATCCTATGACATAATTCACATTCAAGCCAGTATGAACAGTTACTCCATTATTTTGGCTGTAATTTCTAGACTTGCTGGTTTTCTATTTTAAGGATAAATAACACATACACTTTTTTACACTCCTGTAATGCCTTCCYACTTCTTTCTGACTTACCAGAACCCGTGCTCCCATGCTTTCTGTCCAGTTAATTCTTTTATCATTCCAGGACTCATGCTATCAACACCTATGTATTTGCTTTTTACTCAGCCCTTATCGAAAAATTCTTACTTCCTGCCCATGTGCATCTCGTCCCGTTTAAATGGGACTGATGGCCTCAAAGAGCCAAGCAAAATTAATCCTAACTCAGCACACCTGATTTTCTCCTCGTTATTCCTATAGGAATAACCTTTTTTTCCCCCAATTTTTTGGTTACCTCCCTATCAAAAGGCAGATATGGGAAATATCCCTWCCTATGGCTGCAATCCAGTCCATGCCTTGATGTCGCATTGAGTACTTCAGTTCTCTGCACCTGATCCCTACAAGCCTCCACAGTCTGCACGTGATTTTACTCRGTTCCTTTTCCTCTTCTCCATGTCTCCTACACTGCAGCTTGGGAAATGCACTTGYTCTTCACATTCTCCTCAAACTCACAACAACCTGGAGCTCCGTACCGGGCCCAACGGCACCGTTKGCACTGCTCCAGGTTTAACCTCATCCCTAGGGCAGGCCCTCGAGCAGCCTTCTCCTCCCGCAGCATCGTYGGCATCCGCAGGGTTGGGTTTTCCAGAGCAGCTCCCGATCTGCTCCAAGGCCTTTAACTCCTCTATCATCTGCTAAACCTCTAATGCCAGYGCCTCCGAGCAGCCAGGGAATCACGCCCTGCTCGGGATGGATGATTCCCCCCATGGGCATCTTCTCCTGAAATGTGACGCTGCCTTTCACCCAAGCTGGGAGCGTGACTAATCCTCATTATCCCGGGCGAAATCCCCAGCCACCGCCGAGAAGGTCCCACAGTTACAGAAGCCACCATATGGAAATGCATGAGCATATGGAAATGCATGAGTAGTTGGAAATGCATGAGCATTAACGGATGCCCGCTGCAGGTTTGCCTTTGTTATTTTAATATTCTTATTTTTTACACGGTATTTCACTTTTTCCTCTCCAATCTGGCTGCCCCAAGAGACACACRTAATTGCCCAGAGGCTAAAGGCAGGAACCAAGGAGGAAGGTGGCAGCACCAGCACAGAGATCACATCGGCTCCCATCAGCATCGCAGCAGGACAGAGGAACAGCCCTGCGTGTTTGAACACCCCCAGAGAATAGTTGAAACCAATGCCAGGGGTTGCTTTCCGTTCTGATTTACATGCATTGCATTAAAAAGAAAACTRAAAAACAAGTAACAACCACATTTTGTATCACTTACCTTTAGCGGCGGGGAAATGCAGAATTTTGAAAAGTACGGAAGGATTTTTAATAAAATCCTCTGCAGGTGAAGTGTGAAGAGGCCAGTTTCAATTCTTATAATTTCAATACTTATACACAGAGTCAGATAACCAAATAACCAAATAACCAAAAGCAAACTGCGCCCAGCCAAGGAATACTTTTCATTGCCCTAAAATTCCACCCCAGGAAGCTCACATCCCGTTACGGTTTTCCAAGTAGAAAKGAGATTACTTGCAGTATCAGGGGAAGGAACGAGCTGCCCCCAAGCTAGTCGGTGCCCCCAGATSAAGCAGCCCGGGCACTTTGCAACCCAAGCACCAAACTACTTGTGTATGTGGTCACGGGCCACGTACAAAAAAGGCTCTGAAAAATCTGGCCTTTTGATACACCAGAGTGTAACATGTATTTCACACAACGGAAGAACCTTTGCAATTAAATGGGAGATCATATAGTGGGTTATTTCAAATTCACAACGATGGATTTTGGCGAGGTGATGCTGTAAACCATGCCACTTGACTCATACTYGCATTTTTAGAGATAAATGTTAATGGGGACAGGGCGAGTGGCAGATTAATCACTTCTCAGCTGTYTGGGAGGCAACACTGCACACATCTCCACACTTAACCCCCAGCTGAAGCCTTTTTTTGCTATATTTAAGCAGTTTAAAACTAACCATGGCAGCAGTTCTCCCCATTTCTTCTCATAACAGGATAATTGCTCACACACTTCCTACCAGGCCRTTTTTATTATTATTATTTTCTAAAATATCCATATCCCTTTCTTGAACAATTCCTTTGTCCAAACAGTATCTAATTTCTTGCTTTTTCACATCGCAAGAATTCCTTCTGAAAACCTATCATTACATTTCTAATTATAAGATAGCAAGGAGACAAAGATCCAAACTGGAAGAAATGAATATATTCTCATATGGTACTTACAATCGATTTGATGCTATTTTCTTTTGCCAGTTTCATCGAAGATTTATAGCAACTTGCCAAGTCTTCTTTGTGAGTGTCAGTGAGATGGCCTCTTGCTATCGGTCCAACAGTATGGATGACATCTGCAAAAAAAATGAAGGGAAAAGAAATTACGTTCCTAAGGTGGTTTATTATTTATTTAATGACTCTGCAGAACTTCCATGCAAGTTGTTCCYCCATCTGTTATTCCACCTAGACACAAAGGTAGGAATAACTTTGTAAGAAATTGTTGTAACTCGTCATGATAAAATCAAACATATCTGTGCAAATTAAATAAAAAAAACCTGCAAAGATTCAATTTCAGACAAGAAGCACATTTGCATTAAGGAAAGAAATCAGAAAAAATACACTAAACCCCGGTTAAATTAAATGTCTTCATAAATATTTGAAATCTTCAGGATTGTACAACTATTTAAAACAGTTATTTCACCCTTCAAGACCCTCTCACTGGGTAAGTTTACTCCACAAAAATCCCTGCACCAGAATATGATATATATGTCCTCACTTTTATGTATGCAACACGCTGCATCTTTTCTCAGCAGCCATTTCAAAAGGAGGCAAGTTCTGACCTACAGACGTATTAGCTATTCAAGGTAGACGCTTTCCTCTCGCATCAGAGCAGATGGAGACACTATGCAATAAGACATCTATATCTTATTCTCTTTGAAGCACCTTAATGAACAAAACCAGCAAGTACAGGCAGGGAGCGTATTAGGAAGGACGCCTCTGGACTCGTCTGAAATCAATCTGCAATCAATCAAAGTCTTTAAAATGCTATCAGAAGGACGAAGCAAAAAGCCCATGGTAAAAAAGCGGGAATAAAAATCCACCAGGTTTAAAGGAATYGTGAAAATATAGGTTTTTTTGKKTTTTTTTTGGTGGTTGTTTGTTGGTGGAGGTAGGGTGGCTTTTTTACGTTTGACACGCAGCAAACACGAGGGCTTCTCCAATGTCCTCCCGCGGGCACAGGGGCTGCCTGCCTCCGAAGGCCGGGCCTAGCCGAGCGTGGCGCCTCGCAGGCCGGGCCTAGCCGAGCGTGGTGCCTCTGCTCGGGCGCGCGAGGGGCCGGGCCTAGCAGGGCTCCCACCCCGAGCGCGCAGGGCGACGCTCTACGCGCTCCTCTTGCCCCAGGATGGGATCTGGCCAGCGGATCATTACACAGAATGGTTGGGGTTGGAAGGGACCTCTGGAGATCATCTAGTCCAACCTCCCTTATCCTGCAAGGACACCCAGAGCACAGGACACCCAGTCGCATCCAGGCGGGTTTGGAGACCTCCAGAGACGGAGCCTCCAGGGCCTCCCCGGGCAGCCTGTTCCAGGGCTCTGTCACCCTCACAATGAAGAAGYTCCTCCTCACGTGCAGACGGAACACCCTGTGTTTCAACTTATATCCACTGCCCCTTGTCCTATCCCTGGCCACCACCGAGAAGACTTTGTTCTCCTCCTCCCTAGCTTTTAGCAGCGTCAGGGGAAGAAAAAGCAGCTCTTGACGTCATTTTTTTGTCATTTGCTTCTGAAGGAGCCATGGAGAGCGAGGGGAAGGATGGAGCGTAGGTCTTTACACAGAGCCCTGAGCATGSTATGAATTTGTTTGCAATACCTCAAGACTACTACAACTGCTTTGGATCTTACCATCCTCAAAAAAGTGCTTTGCTTAGGTACAAGATTATTCATAAACACGTGACACARTGTGGCTTTACTCATGGAGCGGCATCTGATAAAGCCTCAGTCTCTTTTGTGGTCACAYAGAACCAAAGATTTCATTGCTGTATTCAGTCAGTGAAACTAATGCCCCCATACATGGTCTAAGCCATAAATTACTGTGCTCGAAAACCTTGAGGGAAACCTTGTCCAAAGATTTTTAACTCAGCCACCAGAAACACTCATTTCTGGCTAAATAAAACCCTGGTAGAAATCACTGCTAGGAAACAGCTCCTTCCAGCTCCTGCTCTGCGCCCCAAGCATTAATGTGGTCGAACGAGAGCAAGGGAGATGAACGTTGCCCCCAGACACTCCCCTCATGGGCTTTCCCCCCTAGAAAACAGGTGAGCAAACAGGGTAAAATACATAATGGTCAGCTCTTGCAGAAAACATCTCAGGCACCATTTGTAATATTTTAATTTTTATGACAAATGAAGCTGCCAGCGTTTCTTTAAAGCTTCTGATTTATTACAGTCAGCCTCCAAGCCAAGCGCTTTGATAAGAAACTTCATTTTAAGAGAGAGCCGCAATCTACGYGTCCGTAAATCACCTTCTCTGTGCACACAGCAGAAACGTTTGCTCACGGTTTTAACAACACRCAGAGGTGGCGAGCCCCACACCAAGGTCTCTTTTCATCCAAGATCTGGGCCAYAGCAAGGGGTCAAACTGCTTCTAATGACAATGAAGCTGCTTAGCTTTAAACTCTGTTTATAGCGGAGCAGATATTTCTGCTAGGGAAGTCCTCTCTGAGAGGAGATTCCAGCAGAAAGCATKGGCACCGATCTGCGATGCCCTGCTGCGCGCTGCAGCATCTTCTGGGGGCGATGGAACAAGTTATTTTCTCAGATCCCTGCTGCAACATGGGGTCGATGCAAGGAGAGTTACTCGCTCTGCTCTTCTTTTAGAGTTCCTTTGCTTTTCAGGCACTTGGTTAGAAGGGTCATCCTCCAGCCTAAGAGCAGGGAGCATTCGGTGTCCRTTTATACGTGTGAATTCAAACAGTTTCACAGAACCATCATCACAGAATCATTAGAGTTGGAAAACACCTTGAAAATCTCAAGTCCAACCACAAACAGCTTCCATCATGTCTGCTTATTTCTGCTTATTTTTTTCCTTTTTCTTTTCTTTTTTGAAGCACTCTAATGAAAAGRGTCAACTGCATCTTGTGCAAACCAGGTGCTAGAGGTGTAATGCCTATCTGGAGGTATTGCAGACACCCAGACGTTTCAAAACGTACCTGCCACTACCTTGGCCACCTGTGAACACAAACACAATTTACACATTTAATTAACACTTCCAGCCCATACAAAGCAGCTCTTGCCTCAGACTCCTACGCAGAGCCGTCCTCCTCATCACACAAACTCTGTGTGCACAAGGACAAACGGGGCTCGTTTTCCCGGCCTTGTTCACTAAAGAAACCAGGCCATAAATCCTACCGCCGCGTTTCCATGCAGCGCTGTCTGCGGAGCGCCATGGAGAGGGAGCAGGGAGCCCGTCTGAGGACGGAAAATGAGCTCATGTAGAAAGTGAGAAGCGCCTCARTGCCCACGTGGAGACCCCAGACCCTTTTCCCCAATATTCTTCTTTCATCCTTTGTGGAAAAAAAAAAAAAGCTGGATGGCAAAACCCAGCACTCCATTTGTCAGCCTGACCAGTTGATTTCCAGGACAAGCACCCAACGCATTGGTCCTGAAAAGGGGAAGCCGACATGTGATTGACGGGAAGCTGAATTACCCCCACATATTCTTATATACTATTACTGCTCTCAGAGAAGATATGTAGCCTCATGCTTTCATAAACACCTCATTTGTTTAGCTTCTTCACTTTATGTCTCTGGTGATGTGTATTTGTACATAAAATGTGCATTTTTGCTGTGTAATAAACAACTGTTAATCTAAGTTCAACTTAAATGAATCCCCCACGATCACAGCCTAATTTATTTACTAATGCATGCCTCCAAAACTAGATTAGATCAGTTCAGTATTTTAAATGCAAGACATCTTTTGTACATTGCAGTGTGCTAAACTTTACTGTGTGTGACATGGCTCCTTAGTTATGATATAGTTATTTGTTTATATCTTTTCACTCTTCCATCTATGGACAATCATCAAAAATCATATAAAGCAAATAATTTGTGGCTGGAAATATATATATGAAAATGCATTTTCAGGAGYTGAAGAGACAGCCTGAATTTTGCGGCTTGAGTTAATGAGCACTAATCAATGCAAAGATCAGCCCSTCTAAAGCATCCTGTAGTCTTAACGTAGCTCATTTGGGGGTGATTCACTGTTTTCTTAAATGCAAAAGCCGTGATATTAAAAAATTGTCCACATAAAAGCTTTGAACCATCTTCTGACCGGGGCAAAGTCAGAAGCCCGGAGAGCTTATTGGAGACCCTTTCACCACGATGCCAACCACCAGTGGAGAACCGGGGCAGGCAAGGCTAAGCCCAGGCTGTTTTGGCACTCGTGCTGGTCACAAAATACCAGGCACAAGTCTGACTTTGCTGCTCCATCCTGGAGCCATCGTGCTCTCCCCGTAGCACTGCAGACTGAAGTCAGCTCTGCACAGATGGGAGAAGCAAGCGGGTCGAGGAAGAGGCGCTGTATTATATCCCAAAGTAATAGCTTTTCACAGCAATTTAGGGCTATGATGACAGATGTCAAAGCAGTGACAAGACTGCAGCATCCTCAGAAATAACTGCCCCTGTGCAAAACTACAAGGCAGCATTTGAGATGGTCACGATTCAGTGCGCAACGAAGGACCTCAAGGAGCACAACACGACCTAACACAAAACTTCACAGCTTCACCTGGCTGATCTCTTCATTCAGACTTGCTGAGCAGCAAGACATGGTTTGGAGTTGTTTTACAGAATTCACAGAATATTTAAGGTTGGAAGGGACCTCTACAGATCATCTAGTCCAACCTTCCTGCTCAAGCAGGCACACCTASAGCATGTGGCACAGGGYGGCATCCAGGCGGGTTTTGAAGGCCTCCAGAGTAGGAGACTCCACAACCTCCCTGGGCAGCCTGTTCCGCTGCTCTGTCACCCTAACAGTAAAGAAGTTSCTCCTCACCTGGAGACGGAACTTCTTGTGCTTCAGCTTGTGGCCATTACCCCTCGTCCTATCGCTGGCCACCAGTGAAAACAGCTTGTCCCCTTCTTCCCTGCATTCTCCCTTCCTGAACTTATACATATTAATCATATCCCCTCTGAGCCGTCTCTTCTCCAGAGAAAACAGGCCCAGCTCACTCAGCCTCTCTTCATACGAGAGATGTTCCATTCCCTTAATCATCCTGGTTGCCCTTCTCTGGACCCTCTCCAGAAGAGGGAGAGGCTGCTAAYGTAGCAGTCAGGTCTTACAATCCAATGGGTTTGCCC